AGCTTGGGGTAGCCTTGGCCCTTGGCTTGGGCGTAGCCCCTTTGCCTTGGCTCTTGCCCTCTAGTCTTGACTTTTTTCCCTCACACTTAGCCCTATTTGGCCTACTAGACTACGGGGTGTTACAGATTTCCTCAAAGCTCTAGAGGTTTTGACATCATAGGTTCATTATTGATCAATTGACTAAGTCAATACACTTCCTTCATGTTTAGTATTCTTTTAGTGCCGAGAGGTTAGCTCATGTCTACATTTTGGAGATAGTCCATCTTCACGGGGTGACTGTATCTATCATTTCATATTAGGGTTCTCAGTTTACTTTTAGATTTTGGAGGAGTTAGGTATCTTTTTAGATCTTACCACATATTTTCACTCGCAGAAGGACAATTAGCTAGGAGACACTATGCAAGTTTAAGAGAATATATTGCGGGTCTATTTTGTATTTTAGGGTTAAGTGGGACAATTTCTTGGCTCTGGAAGAGTTTGTGTGTGACAACATCTACCACTCAAGTATTAAATGACCTCGATTAAGGCTTTTTATGCTAGACATTGTCACTCTCCAGTTTATTGGTTTGAATCTTTGAAGCCTATGCCACGTGGTATTTATCTGCTTTAGGAGGCCATAGATCTGGTGCAGGTGACTAAGAATAGGCTCAGGATAGCTCAGAGTTGGAACGATAGTTATGCTGATCCTAGGCATTGCCACTAAGATTCAGAGTTGTTGTCCGGGTATTCCTTCGAGTGTTGCCCATGAATGGCGTAATGAGATTTTGGAGGTGGAGCATGATTTACCCAAAGTATATAATGTCATTCCTGATTCTATGAAGTGTTGGTAATGTTCCTTATGAGTTGTTCCTACTTCATTTAATTTCATCCATCCACCTGGTTTTCCATGTTTCTAGTTGCACTAGTATATTCCTGATGAGTCTCATGTGCTCCAATATGATTCAGTTGAGTTGGATGACCATTTGACCTTCGTAGATGATCCTATTTCCATTCTAGCCAAAGATGTACAACAGTGGTGTTCAAGAGATAACCCTATGGGTAAGGTCTATTGGATGCATCGTCCAGTCAAGGAGGCTATTTGGGAGACCAAGCACGAGATGTGAGAGCAATTTCCCTGCTTATTTAAGCCTTCATGAACTTCTTGCCTCTTACTTTTGCAAATGAAAGTCCTTTTAAGTAGTGAATGTTGTCATGACCCTCCAAGGCATTTCCTTGTTAATGACTTATTTTTGTTATTTAAAGCATTCCTATAAAAACCCCAAATCATTTATAACTTGGTGGGACTAACAGTTCGGTTACTTGGTCATTCGTTTGGAGTATGTGCAAGTTCCTATGTGTTTGGAGCTTCTGAAACATGAACACTTGACTTTGGTCAACAATTTAGAAGAACAACCTCCAAATGCAATTTTGAAAGCTACATCAGCAAAGGAACATTGGATTTAGGACCTTTGATGCGGATCTCGTGGCTTTTAGGATAATCTCGAGCTCCCTTGTGGAATTTGGCTAAAAATAGACTTTGGGTGTAGAACCCACTTTTTGTCGAGATGACCTCGTTTGGAAGTTCGATACCTACATTAAGTCTTGAATGCTAGCATATCTCATTTTGGTGCACAAGGTTCCAAACCAATCTCGAGCACCCGAGTTGAGTCCATAGGGACTTAGCTTGAAACTTCTGGTGCATCATGTTGGTGCAACTGCTTTTGCAGCCTTTGTTTTGCTTAAGAAGCCTTCACCTTAGTAGTCAGGGGTTTGCTTTAGCCGGCCATGACAGCTAGAGGTCAGTCGCTTAAGTGATAAGCTTTTGCCGATTTAGCAGACAAAGCGAGGCCACCTTCTTGGCCAATGGCCTTTTTTGCGATGCCACTTAAGTGGTGTTAGTAACCACTTTTGTGGTACCTCCTGATCGTTAAGACCATTCTGAGGTCTTTTTCTCAATGTTTTGAGAATCAATTTATAGTCTTTGTAGCTCAAATTTCTAGGGGAATTAATTATTCTTTCCTGAAATTCGTAGAGCATCATGTGGGGACTCTCGAAATGCATTGTAGCTTCATTTCAAAGGTAATTTATTACTTTCTTGACCTCTGCTTGCCCTCTAATGGTTTTTTTTTCTTGCATTAGTTGGTTTTGCTACTTTCCGAGCTTGATGTTTTTCCCATTTTGGGAAACAAGTTCAATAATCTCAATTGGACCTTTTGATGGTGTCAATTTCGGGATTCCTAGCGTGGGTCTTACATTTTTATATTTGACTCAGTTTTTGGTCTATCTCCAATTATTGTGTTTTTGATATAAATATTCGTAATGATGTTGTGGTTGCGTTTTAGATAGCACGACATCATTCAAAGGTCGTTAAACAAGGGAAAGCTTCATAATTGTGATTTTGGAGTGCCCATAGTCTGCATTGAGGTAAGTTGCAACATCGCGTCTTTAGATTTAGATAGAGAATGTAAATTTGTATTGATTAGTTGGAATTAGGGCTTGGCTAGTAGATGGTTATGCTTAATTATTTAGAAATCATTTCTTAGGCTTTATTTCAAGAATTTCGGGAAGTTAGCATGTTTAATTGGACTTTTGTGACCATCCTTACCTTTTGGCTTGTGTTGTACTTTTTTATGATTCTTGTGGGAAGCATGTTGTGCTTTAGTCTAGGTGTAGACTAGTGCTTGCCTCTGACTTGCATTTTGGAGCCAATAGGCCTTAATATTGCTCCAATGCCTCTTCAGATAACTTAGCTCCATTTAGACTGATGTATCAAAAGTTTGTCTGATAGTGTGAGTCTTAACTTGGTGGTAACTCAGTTTCAATGACCTTTCATCCATAACTTATGTTTTTTTACTACAACCATAATGATTCTCGGTTGTGATTAAAGATTTTGTTCAACGATTTAGGATTGGATTCATTTTGGGCTTGGAGTGCTTTATTGAGTACTTTACGGTGGACGTCAGGGCTTTTACTTTAACTTAAGCATGAGTGAACTTTCTAGGCTTATGGGGTCTAGTTAGATTTTAGATAGTTGTTTTCATTTCTGCTCTTTTCTACACTCATTTGCATTTCTATTAGACTTCACTCATTGACCTCAACAGTGTTTTATTCTTATTTTTCATACTGTCTTTAGCTTTCCAGCTCAATTGGCCTATGATGCCTACTGAGTACCTATTGTTTTGGTACTCATACTATACTATGTATCATTTTTGTGATCCGGTTCTGAGTACCATTTATCTCCTTCTGTATAGTTTGTCTAGTCTTTTATTTTTTGAGAAAAATCTATATATATTTATCCACTTTTGGGACTTGTACTCTCTTTGTAGTATCTTTGTACTTATGACCAGGTTCTGGGTTGGATCTATTGATTTGTCTGTATATGTATAGAAGACTTTTGTTGTTTTCCTGTTCTTATATTTCTTAAATTGTTCCTCTACTGCGTAGTGCTTGTTATTTCTACTGTTACACCCGTTACTTGTCGTTCCAGGTTACGAGTTTACTTACCTACTGGTGGGTGATAGTAGGTGTCATCATGACTCAAGTTTTTAGATAGTGACATTGTGTCTTTTTATTTCATGTCCTAATCTGACTAAAGAAATTATCATGACCAATTTCACACTCATTTTTCAATCCTTATGCATGAGATGTTTTCAAATAAAATGTCTATTATTTCCATATCACTTTTCAGCATTTATAAGCTATTTAGAATTTCGGTATTATCGATTCAATTACTAGTATAAAAATTCATTGAGAGTGTTACGTAGCACCAATATAAATTAAATACTTACAAGCTGCATGCTGATTTACCTATTTATTACATTATTTACATCATTTTGTGTATCTCAGCTTCATGGTTCAGTTTCACATATTTGAGTTAGCATGTTCTCTTTACTAGTATTGTAGTACATTCAAAGTATTGACCGCATATCTTCTTGTGCTATATTATTTTATAATATTGGTTCAGACTCTCTGCATCTAGCTCATGGTTAGTGGGATTTTTAATCATCTTAGCAACATAGTTGGTGAGTCCAACATAGTTGGTGAGTCCTCATCTTTAAAGGTAATCCTTGTATTTATTTAAGTTACTTAGTCCTTTTAGTTTCAGACAGTTAGAGTAAGTTGGGGACATGTTCCATCAACTCATGTTAGTATAGGCTTTAAGACAATCAGATATGAGTTTCAACTTTTTGTTATATTTCAGATGATATTTCATTCATTAATAAGTTGTTTCGATTGCTTATAACTATCATTTATTTTTCTTCTGCATTAGATGTTTTCTAGTTATATGTTTAACTCTTTGCGGCATGCTAGGTCATGTGTTAGTTTGGGATCACTTGTTGCTCTAAGTATCGTGCTACAACTTGGGGGTAGTGTCGGATCGTGATAATATTTTTGGAAATAAGAGTAAGAAAAAAAAATATATTCTATTTTAAAATTTCCCTAACAAGTTTCTTATATAATATATAGAGAAATTAAATAAAAGTCATCCACGCTAAAAAAAATTTTAGTCTTTACACTGTTAACTCAAATAATATGCCATTTTTCACTTCCTAAGAACCAAATTATGTGAACTTTTGCTAACATTTTAAAATATGTTTATCATATTGATACGAGGAACTTTTAAGATTATAGTACTTTAAGTGTGTATATTTCAATTTAAAAATTATTGTGTTGATTTAATTCAAGTTGTTTGGAACATTATTGTTAAAAAGGAAAATAAGATACTTATTTTGTGTAGAGGAAGTGAATTTTTTTTATTGGCGTAGTAGTTAAGCAATTTAAAATTACTCTATCATAATAAATATGAAATGACTTCTTATTCAAAGCATGTTATTAAATTTTCTTGACTACATTAAAAAAAGTTATAAATGAAGAAATTATTATTTTTGAAACGAACTCAATAATTAATATAACATTAAATATTTTCATAAATATGACATTCTATCAATACTATAAAATGACCTTCAATTTTTTCATTTGACACAAACAAAAACAACTTCATACACACAAAAGAGTAAATTATGTCCACCATCTTTTGGTTTGTGCTATTCGTTGCATTATTGGCTCTAAACACACCTTCACTAGCTCAACATGAAGAGTTAAAGCATAATCACAAACCTTCACATTCACCAGTTGAACCACCAAAGCACAAACCATCAGATTTACCTATTAAAGCTCTAAAACACAATCACAAACCATCACATTCACCTGTAAAACCACCAGAACATAATCACAAACCGCCACATTCACCTACTGAATCACTAAGTTACAAGCAAAACCCTTCACATTCACCTGATGAAGCACCTACGCATAAGAACATATCATCTCATGCACCTGTTGAAGCACTATGGCACAATCATAAACCATCACCTTCACCTACTGAAGCACCAAAGAGGGAATATAAACCTCGTCCATCTTCTTTTGAATAATTATGTCTTTAAATTATTTTGTCTAGAAAGAATATATTTAAAATTAATTATTATGAAAATCTCAATCTATCTTTGGTGAATGTAATGATTTTATATTGACATTATATTAAAAATTATCAACTCTATCAAAAGTCTATGATATGTGATGTATATCAACGTTTATTATGCACATCTCATTATTAAATTTGGTAAATTCATTTGTACTAATGTTTGTACTACAAACATTCAACTTCAAAGAAAATTACTGCATCTTCTAAAATTTATCTGAAATCCTTTCCAAATAATTTTTCCCATACGAGTCAATTTTGCTAAGAAATATCCCGCATCTACCTTTGGACAAGGGTGCTTAGGATCATTTAAGTATAGTAGATTATCCATTTAAATCATTTAATTTTATTTTGTATCAAAAAATTTGCCTAAAAGAATAATTTTTGAACCACCCTCAATTATAATTGTGTAACACTGTCTTCACTAGTGGTTCATGATACTATGTGCCCCCTTTACATTTATTTTTTGTGTTATTCATTATTGACATTATTAATATTAATTTTTAAATTATGATTTAGCTAATATATTTCTTATAATATATACTTTTATTAAATTACTTTTCCTTTTATTATCATTTTACTTTGCATAACTTTTAAGTCTAATACACAATGCAACCCTTTGCGTCACTCTTTTGAATAAAATTACACTTTCAGGGTCAAGTCTAATATACTTTTAGAAAATAGAAGATGATATAATTTTTTATCAAATTAGACTAGTTAATCTCCAAATCTCAAATTTAAATTAGTGCATGTTATCATTTTGTTATTTTCATGACCCAAATGAAAGTGAGTGGACCCAACATTAACCCTCTGAAGGGAGAACCATCGAATCTAAGACATAGCCGATTAAAGTCCATTCAAAAAGTAAAACAATACTGAGATCCAACTGAGTTTTTATTAATGAAAGTCAATACTTTAGTCTAATGTGAAATAAATCAACATCTTAATAAATTCCCCCAAAACTTAAAGTCATCGTATAAGAACCTCTAACAAAGTCAATGTCTAACAAATCATCAAACTAATCAAAATAATAAAAGAGTCTCTCTGTCCATAAAATGGACAAGGAATGCATATAAAGATCCACAGTAGCCGAAAATAGAGTGTTGATCATTGAATCAGAAATCTGCTAGCACACGCTAGAACTAGACTGTTATAGAAACTTCTGGAACACGATACTAAACAAAAGAATATTACATGATAGTATCAATACAAGCTACTATGTAGTGAAAGGTATCATAAGCCGACTCTATTTAGAAATATGGAACACATAAATCAAACAACAAATAGATTAGACATTTAACATAAAGTTATAATTCACTAGCAAACAAGTATAATCACTCCAAACTATATCATATCAGACGATAGGTAGCAAAACTATCATTTATTTCAATTTATTAAAATAAGTCAAAAATCACAATAATAACTCACACATCAGCATTAAGGTATACACAAACTAAGGATCTTATTTATGTCTAATTGACACGGCTAAAGGGACCAGATTCATTTGTTTACCAAATTGGTGTGATACCCGACCCTCTAAATATATGTACCCACTCGTCTACAAGCTCATATCAACTATGAGCCACTCATAATTTGTAAAATCCATTTTTACCTTTACAACTTTAACACTTATAACTGTAAAAAATTCTCCAATCATTATAGTTGTATAAGACCATAGTACTTTGGCATATGTCCCTGCAAGCTATGAATTGGCAAAATAAAAAAATCAAACAATGTGGGGAAAAGTTGCTCGCTATTGAAAAAGCCTCATTTGGCTCTTACGACTTTTACTATAGCGAATGGAGATTCTTTATAGAGAATGTAATGATGCTGCAAAGCTTCATTTTAAAGAAGGGGTGGTCTACTATAAAAACTTTCAGTATAGAGAAGACTTTCGCTACAATGAAGGCCATCATTTACTTTTTATTTTTTCATTTAGCTTTTCACTCAGTCTTTGTCATAAGATAGAATATTAAATAAGAGGATCCCAAGGCAATCTTTTCTTATTATGCAGGGTCTTTCTATCATGACACAACTGGTGCAGGATTGTGCGAGCCCATGTACAGGATGTGTTACATTGTAAAATTCTTGGTTTGTTGCTCTTAGTTGGTATTTAGAGACTTGATTTTTTAGTAAGTTGGTACACGACCTACCAGTACAGCCAATTGAAGGAAGTACGGTTCGTACTTGGCCATCCGTAGTTCATAGCCTTAGGGTCCAAGCCTTTGGCTGAGGGGCAGTGTACAAGGAGGGTTTACAAATCATAGAAGTAATGATGGGTCGTGGTTCTTGGTCCCTGGTTCGACATTAGAAAGTTTGGATTTTCTGTACTTGTTCCACGAAGGACCAATTCGGTCCATAGTCCTATGTACGATCTGTAAGAGTGGACTCAACAGTTTTAGTCGAGTTAATAGGTTAGTTTCCTCTTATTTTAATTCCTAAACTATTTTTAGGCTATTCCTAAGACCTATAACCATTTCTAATGTCAAATCCCTCCAGATTCACTCTTAAACTGCCAAAGATATCAAGTCTTCTATCCGAAGGATTACTCAAGGTGAAGCTAGGGTTCTTCAAGTTCAAATCTAATTTCCATATTTTAATTACGGCTTTGATAAGGGTATGTGCGAATTTCATCAATTGGTCCTCTTCACCCATTGAGTTCCAAAAGAAACCTAAATTTTTACTTATGATTTCTACCCAAATTTCTAGGATTTTCATGATTCTTCTATGGATCCAACTGAAGTAAAGTTTTATCTCCATGAATGATCTTATTATGCATGATTTGATCATATTCGAACGTTTTCAATGATTTTTACATAAACCTGTGCTATATAAGTGATTTTCATATGAAATAAAGCTTTGAAGATATGCATGCTTTATAAATTGAAGTATTATGAATCAAGGATGCTTTTAGATAAAGTATCAAGCATGTTTTATGAAATTGAATACTTTTAAGTAAAGTATTTTTTGTGATGAAAGATGATAAAGATTTACATGCTTTAGATAAGTGTCTCTTATTAATATGTAATGAAATTATGATTTAAAGGAGCCATTTTTATGATTATGAAGTTGATGAATGATTTGGTATTAATAGATTCTTACAATTTCAAAGTGTATGAATAGGATATGATTACGCATGGTAATCTTTGGGAGTTTACATAGCAACAAGTGGATTTTGGGATGGATACTCACTGGCCCGTTAGTAGATATGGTGTTCTTTAGTAGAAATCTCTTTGTCTCATAACTACGTACCCATGTAGGGCTTATCTCAGATATATACTAGCTAGTGGATCCATGTAAGTTCATGATTATGGTCCTTACCTTGACAAGGACACTATTTTTTTTTTGTGGGAGAAGTAAATTGAACTCCATATTATAGATCACATGGTTCATGTCGGTTGACGATATCTCCCACAAAAGACTTATGAATGATAAGACTTTCAAAATTTTGAATTTACCCTATAACATATTTTATGAACGAAGCTTATCAAATTATGTCATATTTTACTTTGTCATGCATTCATTATGTTTTCAGAATTATTATATCGTTATGCTTATAGTCATGCATCTTTCCTCATACTCAGTACATTACGAGTACTAAACTCATACATCTCTTGGGCCTATATTATTTTATAGTATAGGATCAGGCACATCTAATCTAGCTTGCGGTTAGAACATACTCTATTTAGCTTAGCTAAGGAGTAGTGAGTCCTAATGCTTCGAAGACATGTCAGTTATAACTTTATGTTTCTTTCAAACTTTACTTTAATTTAGATTATTCATGAGCTAGGGCTTGTCCTAGACATACCTATTTACTAGAAACTTATGTCAGACTTAGTATGTTTTTCGCATTGATGGTCTTGTATTCTGATTTTGGTATCAGATTAAGATGGTCATTTGGAGAATGATATTATGCTTCCTTGATTCTTTCAATTATGTTGTTATCTCAGTGTCATGCTATTTCAAGTGGTTGGTTTAGAGTCCTTCGAGATTTAATTCACCATTTCACGTCTAGGGGTAGTCTTGAGTCTTGACAAACTTGGTATTCAGAGCATCAAATTCAATTAGCTTAGGTTGTGTGACAAGTGGCTTTTTAGTAGAGTCTTGTTTATGAGTGTGAAACATGCCACATTTATAAATAGAAGGTTCCGAGGCATTTAAGAAACTTCACTTCTTTCATACTACTAAAGTCGTGCGATTGAGTCAAAATCTATAAGGTTTTCTTCTAATTCATGGTCTATGCATTTCAAAACGATGCCTCCAAGAAGAGCCCTAGTGAGAAGGAACTTGAATGTGAAGTAGAAGCTCTACAAGCCCTGGTTGACCCATTGGCCAAAGAAGTCATTCATGCTGAATTTAGGCTGCCTCCAAGGTGCTTTCCCAATCCAGGACTGCTCAAGCTAATCTTGAGGTGGTAGCTCTTGTGAACCCAATTGTGGTTATAGTAGAAACTAGGATTCGAGAATTCACGAGGATGAATATTCCAAAATTCCATGGTTTTAAGGTAGATGAGGACCCATAAGATTTTGTCAATGGTATTCACAAGATTGTTGACATGACACGGGTGTGACTCCGATTGAGAAGGCGGACTTGGTTGGTTACCAATTGAAAGGGGTTTTTAAGTGTGGTCTAACCAATGGAAGGAAGAAATAGCAGTTGATGTAGGTCCTCTGAATTGGGAGAAGTTTAAGGGACCATCTCTATATTGGTTATTTCCCCTTTATGTGAGGGAGGCTAAAGTCCAAGAGTTCATAAACTTAAGGCAAGGTAATATCAGTTTAATGGAATACTCTTTGAAATTTCACTCAATTGTCTAAATATGCTTCGACTTAGTTGTTGATTCTAGAGCTCGGATGAGCAAGTTTGTTTCGGGTGTTTCAAAAATGGGGGTCAAGGAGTGTAGGACCACCATGTCGATCAAGAAGGTGGATATTTTGAGATTGATGACTCATG